CTTATTTAAGTCACATCACCTCTCTAACACATCACTTCAAACCCAACCCAAATCCAACCCATATTTCATAAAAAGTCAAAAAGTGCACTTATTTAGTCTTCCCAAACTTAGCCTATGTATTACATACAATTATTGTTGTTTTCCATCTAAGGTTGTTTTAATGCCATCATACATCTTAAGATATAGATAAAATGGGGCATATACAGGTAAGTGCTTGTGTTTTGGATTGTTGCTCTTTCATGGGTGGGGAAATTTGATCCGACAAAAGATTCTCCGAATAACTAACAAAAAAAATAAAATAAAATTGCTGAAGTAAAATAAAACCAAATATTGAATTCAGTGTTCCATATTCCTCATGAAACATAAATGAGCAAATATAAGCTTGCCATATTGAGAGGTAGCTAAAGGAGATTCCGAACTTCTAAAATTTATATTTATTCATTCACTCAAGCAGTTGAAAACTATGGAAGGGCCTTTGCTCGGATTTATGGTTTGTCCACAATTTTTAGAGACATCATGAGCACCGTAATGAGCCAAAGGGTGCCTTCAAAGCTACCCTTAGGGTTGATTTGATATTTAGAAATATTGATTTAACAGATGCATTAGGGCGAGGTTGTTAGATTTTGGTTTAATTTTATATTTTATTACTGTTTGTTTGTATTTAATATTCAAATTTGTAGTTTAAATTCTATAAAATTTGTGGTTTAGTGATTCTATAACTTCTATTATTTGTAGTAAAATTTGTTATTTGCAGCAATATGCTTCATAATTTTTTTTTATTATTTTTCTACAGATATGGATTTGGGTGATGAACACCCATTCAGTCATCCTCTTCAGAGACAGTCTAATAGTGTTATTTATGTACTTGAAGGTGACCTGGGAAACCATTCCTATGGTTATACCTCCATGCAAAACTGTGTTAAGGATTACACTTTTAAAATTAGCACACTGGATTATAAAACTGATGAGGAGGCGTTTGAAGGGTTTATCTGCTTTAAGTCTTGCAAAGGGTTATATGTCTTCATGGTTTCATGTTGGATAACAACATTTTATTAATAAAAAGATTAGGGCGCGACTTGGCAATGTACTTTCAAGATGAATACACAACAATTTTAAGAAAGGGTAAGCCTTACACTCGTTGGTTTGAGTTTATCAAGGACAAATTTTATGCAATTTTCAAGTATTATTTTTCTTCTAATTATTATGTTTAATAATAATACTTTGTAATTATTATTTTTTGCAATTAGTTATAATTGTTGTTATGTAGGAATATATTTAACGAATTACGGCACATATATTCATTACAATTTGTAAGTGGAATGAGGGTTGGCAATACTTCAGTAATCAATAATTGTGCGAAACTTTTTTTTATTCATAATCCTAAATCTGGTATGTTTAGCAAGTTATATTTTTTTATTTTAGACTTTTTATTTTAATAATTTCTTTTCTTGGTATAGAAGTTTTTTTTGTTTTACAATTTTTTTTTTTTTTTTACGAAGTATTTGAGGAGCTTGTTGAACTAAAAGAAATAATCATTGAAATTTTATTGAAGTCGTGTGGTAATTGGGATGGTTCTTTAAAGATGTTGGAAAATTGTTTTCATCAACTGGCTGTACGAGGTGATTTGTATTGCTTTGTGTATTTTTTTGTGTGATGAAAATTATTTGTAAGTTTTATTTTTATTTTTTCAAAGCTTTGTATTTATTTATATATTTTTCAATTCACTTTTTTTTTTTCTTTTTGTTGGAATAATGTTGATTTGGATTGGTTACTTGATAATTCTTTTTTCTAGAATACAATGGAGAAATCTAAGTTCATTCGTAAGTTGGGTAACATTTTACACGTGCAGCAAAGGTTAGATACATATATATGAATATCTTTGTGATACTTATGGTATTATTGCACATTCTGGCTGGGAGAGTTTGGTTCCAAAGTCATGGCCGACTTGGGATGTCTATTGTCGGTTTGAAGCAGATATGAGAAAGGATAGCAGCAACAATAGTAATCGGCTTCAAAGTGTTAGACGTAAAATAGTAAGATACATGTGCAACTTGTTTGAACATGCAAATTTGAGCTTCCCTGTACTTGTATATTTTTTTTTTTGTCCTGTGATTTGACTTTATTAAAAATTAATTCTTCTTTTAAATTTTTGATAGATGCGTGTGAAAAAGGAGAGAATTGTTCAGAGGAAAGACAATATTATGTTTGTGTTTGGAGGGACTGCTCTCCTCTTACGCCGTGCTTGCAACCACCTTTTTTTTTTATCTCCTGTCAAATAGCCCCCACCAACACTAAATGATATTTAGTGTGGTTGTTTTTTGTTTTGAAATACTAAATGGTATTTGGTTATTTATCCAAAAAACAAAAAAAAATTCAAAAACAAAAAACAACTAGGACACTAAATACCGTTCAGTATTGCTGGGGCTATTTGATAGGAGATAAAAAAGTGGTGGTTGCATGCACGGCGTAAGAGGTCAGCAGTCCCTCCAAACATATTGTCTTCCATCTAAAAAAAAAAAAAAAAAGGGGTGGTTGCAAGCACAACGTAAGAGGAGAGCAGTCCCTCCAAACACAAACATAATATTGTCTTTCCTCTGAACAATTCTCTCCTTTTTCACACGCATCTATCAAAAATTTAAAAGAAAAATTAATTTTTAGTGAAGTCAAATCACAGGACAAAAAAAAAATATACAAGTATAGGGAAACTTGAATTTGCATATTCAAACAAGTTGCACATGTATCTTACTATTTTACGTCTAACACTTTGAAGCCGATTACTATTGTTGTCACTGCTATCCTTCTTCATATCTGCTTCAAAACGACAATAGACATCCCAAGTCGGCCATGACTTTGGAACCAAACTCTCCCAGCCAGAAGGTGCAATAATACCATAAGTATCACAAAGATATTCATGTATATACTTGTCAAGAAAAGAGGTATCTAACCTTTGTTGTACGTGTAAAATGTTACCCAACTTACGAATGAACTTAGATTTCTCCATTGTATTCTAGAAAAAAGAATTATCAAGTAACCAATCCAAATCAACATTATTCCAACAAAAAGAAAAAAAAAAGTGAATTGAAAAATATATAAATAAATACAAAGCTTTGAAAAAATAAAAATAAAACTTACAAATAATTTTCATCACACAAAAAATACACAAAGCAGTACAAATCACCTGGTACAGCCAGTTGATGAAAACAATTTTCCAACATCTTTAAAGAACCATCCCAATTACCACACGACTTCAATAAAATTTCAATGATTATTTCTTTTAGTTCAACAAGCTCCTCAAATACTTCGTAAAAAAAAATCTGTAAAAAAAATTTAAAAAAAAAAAACTTCAATACCAAGAAAAGAAAAAATCTGTAAAACAAAAAAAACTTCAATACCAAGAAAAGAAATTATTAAAATAAAGAGTCTAAAATAAAAAATAAAAAAATATAACTTGCTAAACATACCAGATTTAGTATTATGAATAAAAAAAAGTTTCGCACAATTATTGATTACTGAAGTACCGCCAACACTCATTTCACTCACAAATTGTAATAATATATGCGCCGTAATCCGTTGAGCATATCCCTACATAACAACAATTATAACTAATTGCAAAAAATAATAATTACAAAATATTATTATTAAACATAATAATTAGAAGAAAAACAATACCTGAAAATTGCACAAAATTTGTCCTTGATAAACTCAAACCAATGAGTGTAAGACTAACCCTTTCTCACAAATGTTGTGTATTCATCTTGAAAGTACGTTGCCAAGTCGGGCCCTAATCTTTCTACTAATAAAATGTTATTATCTAACATGAAACCATTGAAGACATATAACCTTTTGCAAGACTTCAAGCAGATAAACCCTTCAAAGGCCTCCTCATTAGTTTTATAATCTAGTGTGCTAATTTTAAAAGTTTAATCCTCAACACAATTTTGCATGGACGTATAACCATAGGAATGGTTTCCCAAGTAACCCTCAAGTACACAAATAACACTATTAGACTGTCTCTGAAGAGAATGACTGAATAGGTGTTCACCACCCAAATCCATATCTACAGAAAAATAAAAATAAAAAATTATAAAGTATATTGCTACAAATAACAAATTTTACTACAAATAATAGAAGTTAAAGAATCACTAACCAACAATAACCCACAAACCCACAAATTTTATAGAATTTAAACTACAAATTTGAATATTGAATACAAACAAACAGTAATAAAATATAAAATTACACCAAAATCTAACAATCTCGCCCTAATGTATCTGTTAAATCAATATTTCTAAATATCAAATCAGCCCTAAGGATAGCTTTGAAGGCACCCTTTGGCTCATTACGGTCCTTATGTGCTCATGATGTCTCTGAAAATTGTGGACAAACCAGAAATCCGAGCAACGGCCCTTCCATAGTTTTCAACTACTTGAGTAAATGAAACAAATATAAATTTTAGAAGTCCAGAATCTCCTTTAGCTACCTCTCAATATGGCAAGCTCATATTTCCTCATTTATGTTTCAGGAGGAATATGGAACACTCAATTCAATATTTGGTTTTATTTTACTTCGTCAATTTTATTTTATTTTTTTTGTTAGTTATTCAGAGAATCTTTCGTCGGATCAAATTTCCCCACCCATGAAAGAGCAACAATCCAAAACACAAGCACTTGCCTGTATATGCCCCATTTTATCTATATCTTAAGATGTATAATGGCATTAAAACAACCTTAGATCGTAAACAACAATAATTGTATGTAATACATAATAAGTCACTTTATAAGTAGGCATAAAGCCCTTTTTACTGCTACATATTTCTTTGGGAATATAACCATCCAAACAAGTTCTGGAAATTTGCAGATGTGTCAACATGTATAGCATGCCAATTTTATTATTTTTCCAATTTTTTACAGATTAAAATGATATTCAGGATAGCCTAGCTTTAAAAAAAGGTTGCTTACCTTGTTTGGCCTTGCCATGATTGCCAGATCTTTTCCTTTCAGCCTTTCATACTTCCTAAGGATTGTCAGGCACCTTGGTTTCCTCCAAAGGAGTTACAGAGACACTTCCCTTCACTTCAAAAAATAGAAGTTGGGGTTGCAAACGCTTTCTTGAACACATGGCAAGAACACCATCCCAACTACCAATAACCTGTTCAAATTTAAACATAAATTACACAAACTAAATGAAAGGTAAGATATAAGAATAAAATCTTGTTACTTAATTGAATGTACCTTCACTTTATCATCGTCATACAAAATCCAATTTTCTTTCGCACGGTTGTAAACAAAGCAGATGTAGTGCTCTAGGCCATAACAAACCTAAAAAGAAATTTGTTAATGAGATAAACTGTTCTTGTGTCATATTATTGATTTAGTCCAAAAATATAAATAGTGATGCCAAACTAGTAATAGTGCATTTGCTATGCTACAGGGAAAGAATGAGAATTGAGTATCAATCAAGCAAGAAGACATTCTTCAATGAAATGGAAAGAGAAAAAAAAAATCAGCTCTATCATTCTGCTAAACCAACATTTCACAAGAAGAAGAAAAAGTAACTTTAAATGAAGCCCATAAGCAATAGAACTTGGGGAAATTGGTTTACTAGATCCATCATGAAAAATGGAACTAAATGATAGAAGAGTATAAAGCGAAGGCAAGTTTACCATTGAAATAAGATAATGTGTGTTTCCTGGATCTAAACCCTTGTAGATGACACCAATATCTATCTTGGTACTCAGAGCTCCCAATGTTGCAGATATTTTATGTGCAGGCTCTTCAAGACTCTCCCAACTAAGAATTGCAATTAACAAATCAAAAACTAGTAAACAAAGACCACAAAGCATAATGAAATATTTTCAAACAACTTATAATTTACCTATTGTGAACATGTGGAGGAGTTGAAAGAATGCAGTGAGGAATGTTTCGTTTGCTACAGCTGCCACAACTATTCTGATGTTTTTCCCTTATATCGCGTTTCAAAAGCTCATTTGGATGATCATGCTGAGTTGGGAAATAACACAACTTTAAAAGACATATCTAAAATGGACTTTTCTTTTCTTTCGCTATAACAGGAAAAATTGACAATTTATCATAAAATGCTTCAGAAAAAACATGCCTTCAATTGTCTGATTGCAGACGCATTTGTCCATTTTCAAAGATAATTCATTTGTCGGGATTCAGTACTACAAGCGTTACAGTTCAGTTTTTCAATTATGTTCATTACAAAAACTGTATGTGTTATACAAGCATCACTATCACAATTCCGAGTCTGTGTAACTGCTTCCGGTAATTTTAGTATCAGAACCAAAAGTAAATGACCAATGAAGAACATCCAAAATAGCTTCAGAAGCATCATTCTTTTGTCCCTGTAAAATCAAGCAAATCAGCAACCGAAGTTGCATAGGAAACAGAAGTGACGTCTAAATTTATAACTTTGAAGAAGGGTGAAAATATGATGACAAGACCATCAAAATTGTCTACACCCTGGAAATTACCATCTTGCCATTTGCTCTGAGCAATTCTTGAAGTGGTAGGAGAAACAGCATCATCTCCTTCCTTAGCTTCTCTTAGGGCAGTGAAAATACCATGTAATTCGCAAACAATACAGGGATCTTTGATATGAGCATGAGCAGGTGTTGATCTTCTCAAAAACTTGCCTCTAAATGTTCTTAAATGCCAGAGAGACTGCATATTGACAAAAAGGTTGATAAAATGAATTCATTATCATATTTTGGTTAAAGGGGATAGAAAATGAAATTTATACCGAGACCCCCAAAAAAGGAAAACTCTTTGAACAGAACACCAACCTGTACAATCACATTTATAAAGCAATTGTTTTCACCAACATTTCTCAGTCCTGACCCTAAATCAGTGGCGCAAGCGACATCCATTTCTTCCACCTCCTCTGCTATGGATGCAACTGCATGCTTATTTTGCTTGGCTAGATTTGTATGCTTATCCTCTTCCGCAATCTGCCTTTGATACTCCAACTTCTCTTCGAGCTTTCTTTCCTCCACATCATGCTCAATTTCATGCTTAAGTTCCTCTTCCTGTAGCCCCAATTCATCAGCTCTTGCAGCAACAACAATCACAGAACTAGGATAATCACCATTGTAGCTAACAGGAAAGTGACTGGAGGAAGACAAAGATCGAAAACCCAGATTAAACTTAAAATGTGCATTAGAGCCAATATTAGAAAAAAGCTGTGATCTTTTAATAATTTTCTACAGTGCTATCTGCGGCTGAGAGACAATTGAGGACTTACACTTGTTCTTCAGTTTCCTCTTGCGGTACATACAGGTCATCACCTTGAGTAACCTGCAATGCTATGAGTATTAGACTGAACTTGTACAAAACATGTAAGACATACATGACAGCAACCTTGATGGTAAAAAACACAACCAGAGTCTAAAGTTAAAAACCTTTGGATCCTTATCCTCTCTCTGATTTTTATTCTTTTTCTTGGACTCAAAATTTTTCTTCTTCTTGGCTTCCAGTTCAATCTCTGATAAAAGTGCTTCTCTTGCAGCATCTGCCTTCTTCTTTGTGTCTTTTGTTGACCAAAACCTCAAATAGTTCCTGGAATAGAAAAATTCTGACTAATTTAAATTTAGATCCAAGAAAGTTGGATAACATTGCAGAGAATTATGCGGCATTAAAAAGTCAAACCCGCATGAATGACTTCAAAAGGGGCAGAATGATGAACTGATAGTCGAGCGTAGATGCCTGCGTAACGTTAACAATCCTCATGACCGACGCTAGATGCTTGCTAAACTGCAGGATTGAGCATAATGAGCACAGGAAAAAAATATATATATAACAAAACTTTACTTGAGAAGCTCAGGAATCATGCCTGAGAAATATACAATATAAACAAGTTGAAAAAGGAAAATATTATGAAAATAAATATTCAAAAACAAAAATAAGTAATCAGAAAGAACAGTAATTAATCATCAAATTTTTTTTAGAGATTTCATAAATGAGAAAAATAGAAAGGACGCATTTTGCTCCAAAATTATAAATTAAACATTATGGTCAACAAATTTAGTCTCATATCAAATTGTTGAAATCCACAGCCTCAGCTCTGTAAATTGTATTTTCATTATTAGAGACAAATGAGGTCAAGTATCATATTATGTACACAAAGAAACAAACCATACTTGCTGTTGTAAACTTTCCGAGAGAAACAAACCCACGACCTGGTGGCTAGCATCTATAACCGCCATCTTGAGGACCTGAAAAAAAGAATTGATATCAGATGCCAGAAAGCAAGGAAGGGAGAGGGTATAGAATTAACTTATTTATTTATTTTTAGATTGGAAGAAAAGCGATTAATTCTCTTGATTGGAAAAAATTTCAAATAATTTCATCACCACCATATTATTTGATGCAAAAAAATATAAATTACTTTGATGGAAAAATTCATCAACTTAGTTGTCAAGTTTATCAAGTTGATGGAGAAAGTCAACATTAGAGTAAAAAATTAGAGAATCTTAAAAAGCACAAATTTTATGAGTTACTAAGAGACATTTCCAAGCAAAACTTTCCATCCACAGAAACCATGGCCTAGAAAAAATTAAGTTTTGAAAATGGCATGCCTGGGGCAATTTTTCAAGCCATTAATTGAAAAAGAAGACCAACTTCTTTTGCCAAAAGGATATTGAGCATTTTAAAGTTAATAATCCAATTAGAGGGTATGGTTTTAAGTCAAATATGACAAAGACTATTGAACAACCATCACGAAATGATGGTGAAAATTCAATTGGAGGGCATGATTTTAAGCCAAACATGGCTAAATTTGATGAACCATCACAAAATGATGTTGAAAATCCAATTAGAGGGCCTGATTTTTAGCCAAACATTGCTAAATTCGATGAATCATCACAAAATGATGGTGAAAATCCAATTAGGGGGTATGATTTTAAGCCAAACATAGCTACAAATTATGAACAACCCACATTTGATGAATTTCAACTTTTTGACATTGTTAATTTTGTTAAAAAAATTAATTTTCTAAAGTCAATTAACATTATGATTTCTGTCATCCAACAACAAGAATGGCTTTGTGGTTCACATCAAAAATTAATTTTGATGAAGTGGTTTACGAAAAGAAATTCTGAATTTTATTTCTATTTCTTATATAAGAGTAATGGAGGAGTATTTCGATGTGGCCACAAAAAAAAAAAAAAAAATATATATGGCCAATCGATTATAATTTTCACAGTTTATATTATATATTTATGTTCATACAACTCTTCAAGAATTTGAGTACTCTCATTTTAAAAGAGTTTGAGGGCATTGTTTGCACCATAAATAAATTTTCCGTCGAATATGACTTATGTTTAAACTTCCTATTACTTATTATTATTATTGTTATTATTATTATTATTATGATTATGCAGGAAAATCTTAAAAATTAAGAGAAGTTAAGTCAAGTTTTGAAGGTTCAAGGGATAGAGGACAAATGACAATATAAAAAGGAGGTAAAAAGGTGGAAGTTATATTGATGGTTAATAGAAGTTTTTTCCTACATTTCTTTGTATAAATTGCCATTGATGGCTCTATTGTAGAGGGAACCAACAAATCAAATACATGACTTGATTTTTATTTCTTTTCTATATTAGGAGTAGATCTAATCTACATTGGAGTCGTTCAAACTTAGATAGGAGTAGTCTTAATGTATTTTATTTGTAACTGGATTGTTTATTCAATCATTTTACTTCATCATCATTATCATCATCATCATCTCTCTCTCTCTCTCTCTTGTTTGTTTTGTCATTATTTTTACTCCAAGGAAGTCCTTGAAACTTTCAAGACATAAAACCTCAACACAATTGCTTGATCATTATGTTGTTTGGTGAGATTTTAGTTAAGTCTCCGTCGATCTAAGCCTAACAAAAATTCTACTAACAATTTTTGGCTTGCCCAGTGAAACATATTCCTAATTTGGAATGATGACAAGAATTCGAATGCAAGATGAAGTACAAGAAAACCTGAAATACGACATGAAAAAATATTGTAGAATACAATCACATGATGTTTCAATAAGTGGATTTCCATGAAATGACGTGTTGAGAAAAATAGATAAAATGATTTAGTTTTGTGAAGATGAAAGGTGTTGGCATGAGAATGAAATTTTATATTTATAATACTCACTTTTAACGACATGAAATGCACGCCATGGTGATGGTTCTACAACGCGCGATGTAAAGTCGTATAATAACCAATCATGGAAAGTCATTCACTTCAATGGCATGTCACAGTACGCCGTTAAAAAACCTTAAACAGTATATTTTGTGTGTAGTGTTTTAAGATTTCTACTACTACTTTTGCACGCCGTTAATTCGTGGGACAAACCACAACACTCTTTGCTTGTTGAATATTTCATATAACGGACTTTTTTGCTGGCCGTAGAATATGTATATGTACTTTTTAATTCGGCAGGTTCTATTTGACTTGCTCTATATAATCTAAGAAAACATTATAAACAAGCCTCACAAAGCATCAATCAACCACCAAAATATTGTTTTAAAATATCAAAAACAAATTATATCCAATCATGAACATCCAACAATTGTTTATACATTCCAAACATCCAAAAACTATGTTTGTGAAGCTTCAAAAACTATCCTTAAGTTCAAAACCATCCAAAAAGTTCTAAACAACCCAAAAACTATATTCTTATCTAGGTTTTTAAACAAATCCAAAACTATCCAAAGATTATAGAAATCCATTCATCAAAGTCATATCCAAAACTATCCATACCTGTGCAATGACTTTTGATGTGGTAATGCTCCAAATCCAATAGTTGTGCTATCACCATTGCTATCACCACTTTTTGCTTCCTAGACAAACAAGGAAGTGAAATGAGAATAGAATCTTTAATTCTTCATAAAAGTACTGGTAAAACTTTCCAAAACTTTGAACAAGTAACAATGAGGCTATGGATTTAGAAAAATTCCATTTTCAGAATTTTTAGATCATTTTCCACTATACTTCATTTAAAAAGTAACTAAAATTCATCTGCCTGGTAGAAGATTATTTTGAAACATTGTTTCTTGATAGAACTCTTCAGAAATGTGTGTAGTAAAAATTTGGAAATTGATCCAAAAGAGAGAAAGAGATGAATAACCGGAGCCTAAAGGTGGTCCCAATAATATTTTGGATTGGACCTTGACCTTCTCTAGATTTGAATTTAATACAGGGGTCATCTAATAATAGCTTGGATGCAATGTTGGGGGTCCCAGTTTCAATTTTATTACAAATAGCACATCTTTACTTTATTAAAACTATCATTTTTTATTATTATTTAAAAATCATTTTTTATGTTTGGATTAGAATTTTATATCTATAAGAACAAAGAGAAACTCTAGCATACCTTAATTAGATCTAAGGAAGATCTCGCATCAGAGAGATGAACAATGTGAAGATGAGCTCCTTCGGCAGGGCCACCAGCCCTTGCGTCGTTTGCTACTGTTAAGAGCTCTCTATTAGCTGCCTCTTCCTTAGTCATCATAGTAAAAATGAGCGGAAGGAAAACATTATCCATCCATTTAAGATGAAATTAACATAAATCAAGCAAATCATAGTATGTAAATACATTCATCCTAAAATTCACACGAGGCATTCTTTTCATACTTTGAAGGTAGAAGTAGATAAACACAAATATGACTCTGAAAACTAGCAGCCTTTAAAATAATGTATTTATGTACTATGATTTGCTTGATTTATGTTAATTTCATCTTACATGGATGGATAATGTTCTCCTTCCGCTCATTTTTACTATGATGACTAAGGAAGAGGCAGCTAATAGAGAGCTCTTAACAGTAGCAAACGACGCAAGGGCTGGTGGCCCTGCTGAAGGAGCTCATCTTCACATTGTTCATCTGTCTGATGCGAGATCTTCCTTAGATCTAATTAAGGTATGTTAGCAAAGATTATAGAAATCCATTCATCAAAGTCATATCCAAAACTATCCATACCTGTGCAATGACTTTTGATGTGGTAATGCTCCAAATCCAATAGTTGTGCTATCACCATTGCTATCACCACTTTTTGCTTCCTAGACAAACAAGGAAGTGAAATGAGAATAGAATCTTTAATTCTTCATAAAAGTACTGGTAAAACTTTCCAAAACTTTGAACAAGTAACAATGAGGCTATGGACTTAGAAAAATTCCATTTTCAGAATTTTTAGATCATTTTCCACTATACTTCATTTAAAAAGTAACTAAAATTCATCTGCCTGGTAGAAGATTATTTTGAAACATTGTTTCTTGATAGAACTCTTCAGAATGTGTGTAGTAAAAATTTGGAAATTGATCCAAAAGAGAGAGAGATGAATAACCAGAGCCTAAAGGTGGTCCCAATAATATTTTGGATTGGACCTTGACCTTTTCTAGATTTGAATTTAATACAGGGGTCATCTAATAATAGCTGGGATGCAATGTTGGGGGTCCCAGTTTCAATTTTATTACAAATAGCACATCTTTACTTTATTAAAACTATCATTTTTTATTATTATTTAAAACTCATTTTTTATGTTTGGATTAGAATTTTATATCTATAAGAACAAAGAGAAACTCTAGCATACCTTAATTAGATCTAAGGAAGATCTCGCATCAGACAGATGAACAATGTGAAGATGAGCTCCTTCAGCAGGGCCACCAGCCCTTGCGTCGTTTGCTACTGTTAAGAGCTCTCTATTAGCTGCCTCTTCCTTAGTCATCATAGTAAAAATGAGCAGAAGGAGAACATTATCCATCCATTTAAGATGAAATTAACATAAATTGAGCAACGTATTGAGCAACATTGTAGCAACAAGTAGTACATTAAATGAAAGGGAAAGAAAAAGAATACGGATAATTCCCTACCTTTAAACCAAGAACACTGGCGTTGATCGTACTAAAAGAGCTAGCACTACAAATAATTGGCAAAGAGTAAGAAGAGAAGTATTTAAATGTTCTTTTATATGAGAAGTTATGTGTGAGCTATCAACTCGATCCACTCAAATAATTGGCAGAATAGTACAATGATTAATTTGACTAAATACACCTTTGATTAGTTATTTGTGATGCAAATACCTTCCTATATGGGTTGTCAGGAGGTTTCGCTGATGGCAACCAGATTGGATCCTCAAAATGTGCCGCGGCTCTCTGCTCTCTCTGCTCTCTGCTCTCTCTCTCTCTCTCTCCATAAAGGGCAGCAACATAATAATTTATTTTTTGTAAATTGTAACCAATATCATCATTATGAATGGAATTGAGTAAATGATACAAGCTGTTTTGGTAGGATTTTTTCTTTCTTATTTTGGCAGGATATGGGTTGTTTTTGGTGGGAGACTAATCACGTCAAAAAGAATCCATTACTGCCTGTAGTTGATACAATTCTTCTGCAGAAAAACAGAATCTGAAACTTTATTAGACATCTCGTATAACTATAAATTGCACCATCTTCAAGGTCACTTCACTACAAGTTTTCATCAATACTAGGCTTTTAAAATCCAACCAAGTCTGATTTTTTAATTGTTCCAAATTTCCTTGTCAAAATTTCTCTTTAAGTGAGTTGAGATAGGCTTATGATGATTATTGCAAGCTTACTATAATGATTTTTAAAATGAAAATTGAAGAGCTAAACATAAAGATATAAGCATGCTTTAACTTTAAGCAGCCTCCATGGTGAAAAATGAAAAACTAATGGTGCTAACCATCCATACCTTGAGTTCAAAAGCTTCTTCGGCAACTGTAGATGGAAAACTATTAAGAGGCATGTCAACCAATGTTGTTAACCCACCTGTATAAACGAAGTTAATTAAGTAGTTAGTTACATGTTGCCAATAAAAGTTTGATTTACAAAGTCAACGACCAAATATAATTAGATACAACAAAGAAATGAATTATTATTTCTGTATATATAAGGTAACCAATAGGGTTAGGAATTATTATAGAATGAGACATGTACTCAAAAGGTTTTTAAAGCATTAGCTTTTGAGAAATCTACGAAATCTTCTCTTAAAGATGATCAAAGCAAGACTAGATATAAAGGACCGAGATCTACAAACTGTAGTTTTAGAGAAGAGAAAGAGTTCGGGAATGAGTTAGACTTCATTCCCTTTTATATTGATAATTCTGAGCAATTACAGGAGTGCCATTAGGCATAATTTTGAGCAATCAATCCAGAGAATAAATAAGAATACAATCAATTATTTCATATTCTAACACTCTCCCTCAAGCTGGTGCAAAGATATCTCTCATGCCCAGCTTGTTGAGAATGCCATGAAAGGATTTGCTTCCTAGTCCCTTGGTGAGAACATCAGCTAGTTAGTCCCCAGTCTTCACAAATGGAATAGATATGGTGCCACTAGTAAGTTTTTCCTTGATAAAGTGTCTATCAATCTCCACATGCTTAGTTCTATCATGCTGAACTGGATTATAAGCAATGTTGATTGCAGCCTTGTTGTCACAGTATAGTCGCATGGAGTTAGTTTGATGAATTCCTAAGTCTCCCAACAATAGTTTAATCTATAGTAACTCACATACACCCTGAGCCATAGTCCTAAACTCTGCCTCAGCACTTGATCGAGCAATCACATTTTGCTTCTTACTTTGCCATGTGACTAGGTTGCCACCAACAAATGTGCAGTATCCAAAAGTAATTGTCTGTCAGTGACTAATCCTGCCCAATCTGCATCAATAAATGCCTCCACACTGAGATGGCCATGTTTTGAGAAATAGAGACCCTTTCCAGGACAAGACTTCAAGTATCTCACAATTCTCATAACTGCCTCTAAGTGGGAAGTTCTAAGAGCATGCATAAATTGGTTCATCATGCTCACGGCAATGGCAATGTCTGGACGTGAGTGGGATAAGTATATGAGCTTGCCCACTAGTCTCTAGTATCTCCCCCTGTCCACTGGCTGTCCCTCTTGATCCTCACTGAGTTTCTAGCCTGGTTCTAGAGGTGTATCACATGGTCTACCTCCAAACAGTCTAGTTTCCTTTAGCAAATCAAGCACATACTTTCTCTGACATATAAAGATGCCATCCTTGCTCCTAGCTACTTCAATACCTAAGAAATACTTCAAACTACCCAAGTCTTTGATTTCAAACTCCTTGACTAAATATTCCTTCAACCGAGGGATCTCCTCAACGTCATTCCCTGTCAAAACAATATCGTCAACATAAACAATGAGAGTTGTGGTCTTACCATGTGAGGAGTGTTTCACAAACAAGGTGTGATCAGCTTGACTCTGCTTGAATCCATATTTCAGCATAGCTTGAGCAAACCTTTCAAACTAAGCCCTAAGGGACTGCTTTAGTCCATAAAGCGGCTTTCGGAGCCTGCGTACTTTACCTTTGGACTTAGCATCTGCAAAACCAAGAGGAATATCCATATAGACCTCTTCTGCTAGGTCTCCATGAAAGATGGCATTCTTCACATTAAACTGATGAAGTGGCCAATCCAAATTGGCAGCAAGAGAGAGTAAGATTCTCACAGAGTTCATCTTAACAACTAGTGCAAATGTCTCCTGGTAATCTACTCCATAAGTTTGAGTAAAGCTTTTAGCAACCAATCTTACTTTGTACCGCTCTATGGAACTATCTGCTTTCTGTTTTACCGTGTACACCCACTTACACCCAACTGGTTTTTTCCTCTATTACTCTACTAACTCCCAAGTGCCACTTTTGCTGAGAGCTTTCATTTCTTCTATCATGGCATGTTTAAATTCAGGAATAGAGAGAGCACCGTGAAAAGTGGTAGATAGACTCACAGAAGATACTTTAGACAGAAAGGCTTTATATGAGGAAGACAGATTAAAATAAGAGACATGATTAGTAATAGGATGCTGAGTACATGACCTAACTCACTTCCTATTAGCAATAGGAACATCAAGATCAAGAACATCAAGAATAGGAGTACTAGAATTAGAATTACCTGGACTCTTAGGGAAAGTAGGCTCTTGTATCTAAGTGACTTGCTATTTGTCCTTGTCCCGAATATAAACTTTGCCTACTTCCTTGTGCTCAACAACTGCTGGCTCATCATCCTCTATCTGTTCAACCACTGGCAGAAGAGAAACAGGCGGAAAAAGAATCTCTTCACACCAAGGCTCCCCCTGAAGAGATGACTGAGATACCGGGGAAGACGGAAAGTAAGGCTAAGACTCAAAGAACGTGACATCAATGGAGATAAACCATTTGCGAGTGGGAGGGTGATAACACATAACCCTTTTGGATGGCAGAATAACCCAGAAAAACACACTTAAGGGACCTAGGATCCAATTTACCACGAATGGGAGAATGATTACGGACAAAGCAAACACAGCCAAAGATCTTAGGAGCAATGAAGAACCCAAAAGAGAGAGACCCGAACAAAACTTGAAGAGGTGTTTGTTTTTGAAGGACTTGGGTAGGAAGACGATTAATCAAATAAGCGGTAGTGAGAACCGCTTCCCCCCAATAGGATCGAGGAACCCGTATCTCAAAGGATAGACAATGGGCAACATCAAAGAGATGGCGATTTTTGCGTTCCGCAGCAACATTTAGTTCAAGGGTATTAGTGCATGAAGTCTGGTAAATAATGCCATGTGTGGCGAAGTAAGTGACAAGACCAGAGCCAATATATTCCCCCCCATTATCAGAACGAAGAATTTTGACAACCGCCCCAAACTAAGTACAAACCATTTTATGAAAGTTTTGAAACACAGAAAAAACCTCACTTTTATCTTTCATTAAATAGACCTAAGTGACCCTGGAACAATCATCTATGAAGGTAACAAACCATTTTTGATCAGTTAAAGACACAAAACGGGATGGACTCCATACATCAGAATGAATCAAAGAAAAGAGAACTAAACTTTTATTAATAGAAGGAGCAAAAGAGACTCTGTTGTTTTCCAAGTTGACAAGACTCACATTGAAAATCTGACACATTATTTTTCTCCAAAACTAAGGGAAATAAATGCTTAAGTAATAAAAAATAGGAATGTCCTAAGTGACGGTGCCACAGCCAACTGTCTTTCTTGGTGGATGGTAACTAAATAGATTAATGAGTCAGCTTGTCTGTCTGATCTAGAATGTAGAGCCCATGTTCCTCTCTACCACCGTTAATCCTCTTCCTCGTGATAAGGTCTTGAAAAAGACAATGATCAGGAAAAAATGTCACGTTACAATTTAAGTAACGGGTGATATGACTCAAAGATAAAAGATTAACACTAAAATTGAGAACATGAAGGACAGAAGACAAAGGAAAGGAAGAAGTGACAGGAATTAAACATTTTCCTGACACAAAAGAAATGGTACCATCAGCAATACGCACTTTTTCCTGACCTGAGGAGGGGTTATACTCTAAAAATAAATTAGAAGAGCCAGACATATGGTCGGAAACACCGGAATCAATAATCCATGGTACAGTCGTATGAGATAGCAATGCACATGGGGAGGAAGCTAAGTTACCTGAATTGGCAAAGGAAGAAGAGAGTGCACCTGTAGCAGAAATGGAGGCTCAGCGATCTAGCAAGTGGCAAAGAGCAATCTCAAAATCCGAGGCAGATAACCTCGAAACATCAGCAGCGGAGGAGACAATTGGAGATGAAGATGGTGACGCAATAATGTCTGAAAGATGGGCTCGTGCATTGGCCCCGCGGCCTCTAGTACCAAGCTGACCCCCTCGAGTACCAGGACGGTCGCCTCAACCACCAGAGGGAGTGCTATGCAGCTTCCAACAAGTCTCTCGTGTGTGGCGAGGTCGACAATAGTAGTCACAGTAAAGATTATCCTTCTCAAAGGAAGGACGAGAACCACGAGTCACAGTCGCCATCACGAGAGGGTGCGGAAACCAAGGCCAAGCGATCAGTAGTAGTAGAAGGAAGCATCACAGAACGGCAACTCTCCTCATTTTGCACAAAAACAAAGGTTTCCTAAAGAGAAGGAAGCACATCTATGCCAAGTACTTTGCTCTGAACTGGATTATACTCCACATTTAGGCCTTCCAAGAAATTGAAGACCCGCTCTTGCGCCACAAACTTCTGGTAACTAACAGAATCAGTGAGACAGACAGGCTTGTAATTCTGAAGGTGATCAAGCCGCTTCCACCGATTGCTAAGGAAGATAAACTACTAGAGAATAGTCTTCTCACCTTGTACCATCCATTCAATAGAGCGACATAACTCGAAAGCCTTTGAAAAGTTCCCCTTCCTGGAGTAAGTAGTTGCTACGGCCTCCCAAATATCCTAGGCAGTGTCCATAGACAAGTAGCCCTCTCCAATCTCCGGAACCATAGAATGGGTTAACCAACCCATAATCAAAGAATTAGTAATCTCCCACTAGTCATAATGAGGGTCAGTGATACAGGGTGCCTGAACCCGCCCATTAACATATCCCATCTTCCCATTGCTCTTCAAGAAAATAGTCAAACTCTGCGACCACGCTAGATAATTCTGACCATTGAATAGAGATGTGGTGATTCTAAGGCCAGTGTAGAGGGTATCAGTCATAGTAGAAGGGTTTGCCATGGGATGCTACTAACTACTCCTCAACCACAATGCCAATCACAAACCTAGAAGATGAGAGTGGAGGGATAAGCACAATAATAACTAGAAACTCATAAAGAAGTAAGAAACATTTTTTTTTTTTTATGTAACAAACGAACCATTACAAGTCAAGAGGGAGAGAGAAGAACACACTGACTATTCAATTGAGAGAGAGTCGACGGCAGCCTAGGAGATGCCGACAGAAGCCAAGGAATTCAGAGGGGCTGTCGACAGGGCCTAGGGTGCTAGAGAAACTGCCGACAGACCCCCTAGTGGACTGACGATGGCTTGGATGGACTGTGGGATGACAGACGATGGCTTGGGTGAGAGGCTACTGTGGCCAACTGGGCTTCTGGGGAAGAAAGAGCTGCCGGCAGACAGGAAAAAGGTGTGGGCTAGGGTTTAGGCTCTGATACCATGTAGTTTTAGAGAAGAGAAAGAGTTAGGGAATGAGTTAGACTTCATTCCCTTTTATATTGATAATTTTGAGTAATTACAGGAGTGCCATAAGGCATAATTATGAGCAATCAATCAAGAGAATAAATAAGATTACAGCCAATTATTTCCTATTCTAACACAAACCAGCAGTAGCCGCTCTAGTCCCTGAAGGAAATCCTTTCCATTCTGTTCTTCTAGGGTCATCGAGATGTTCATGCCTGCCATGAAGGTAACTTATGAATATCATATCAAAGAGAATTTAAAAGCCTGAAAATTACTTTGATCAATGATCCTCACATAAATTTTTCAGCAAATACATGAATCAAGTGAACGGGAATCCAATATCACCAGAGAACAATGATGTCATCTAGGAAAATTTGACATTCCAAGAAAAATTGTGAATGAGACCTCCAATATAATGCAAGAGAAAATTTTACTACAGAGAATGAGTGTTTAAAATAAAAGATGGGTTTTGATTGTTTACTAAACAAATTAAAAATAGTAACAACCATGGCAAGTAAACATTCTTTATAAAAATAAAGCAAAGCTTTCTGAAGCTACACCAAGGCCATAGCAGCCATTCAAGAAAGACCAAAACTAACTGAAAATGATCAAACCAAAAGCATAATGTAGCCAGCAAACAGAGCAAGAGAAAAGGCACATAGGGTAAAAATTGACTTATAACATTGTCCAATTATTTCAAGATGGTATACAGCATCTTGGACGTGGACTAATGGGAATTTGTGCTCCAATTCAACGTTCTAGTGTAAGTTGTAGAAATGTTTTTATTTTAATTTTTAGCCAAAGCCTTTTGGATTCCATTTTAAAATAATATTTTGTATGCATTGAACGTTGAAAGCATATGGCCTTTTTCTGAAATGTGCCTCTTCTGGATTTTCTGAAATCTCCAAGCAATCAATGTTGTATGCTACATTGTAATCGTGCTTTATTTATATATTTTGTTATATCTATCTTTCTAGAGAAAAAAAAAAAAAAGGCATAAATTGTAGTGCTAGTTACTTATTAAGAAGAAAACAAATTGATAGGTACTATTGTTCCTGTTTACTTCTTCAAGTTGAACATATAATTTTTTCCTTAGCTGCTATGTTTGTTGTAATCTTCTTCACTTTGGTATAGTTTTCTCTCTCGCAATTGAAGGTTGTTCATTATGGCTTGCCATACGAAAGTGTTCCATGAGAGCTAATTTTAATTTAATTTAATTTATTTATTTATTTTTTTTTAAATGGATGGCTTTTCTAAGCTTATATTTGCTTTAAAATTTGTATGGGTGCTTAAAGTTTTTCATTGTCCCATGTCTCCATGTTGATGCTAGAGATAAGAATGTCATAGTACCACTTGACATAAACAAACACACACCAACCCCAGTATTTTTGTTCAAGAGTTGTATGGTTATTCTAGATTGCATGTGTGCACACATACTAGCACGGTGGGTAAGTTCAAGGTTAGGTGGGTGTGTGATTTGGGACTTTCTCTTGCCAAAGTACTCCTGGCTTTTGCCAACTCAAATGACTATGAATGGAAACAAAAAAATGTCCTCCTAAGATTCAATTAGGAAACTTGACTCGGGCAAATATGTTTATTCAATAAAAGAATTACCCAGGAAACAATAAGCCTACTAGAAATTGGAAATTATAAACATATCTTATGAACTATTGCTAGATTGGTCCTATATGTTTGCTTTGTTCAGTATTAGCTGAGAAAAAGGGAATGTGAACTATAATTACAGCTTCTAATTTTTGACAAATAGATTTTTTTTTTTTTAATTATTAAACTTTTGAAAGAACTTAATGTACTCCCTTTAAAATCTACTTTTGAATGTTACATAAACAAATCCTCCAAAACTAACACCAGGGCATTCCTTATCAAAGATTTCCATCAAACTAGAAAGGAGATAAACATTCCAAAACTAACACCGGGCATTCCTTATTAAAGATTTCCATCAAACTAGAAAGGAGATAAACATTACTCATTACATTACTCAAGTCACCAATGGACACAAGGGGTGGCTAGGGGCACCATGGCCCCTGTGATCCTTTCAAAGAACATAATTAAGTATATGCACTAGCTGCCATGTACTAACTCACATCATTTTTTGTTTTGTGTCATAGGTCCTCAATTTCTTATTCTTCCACTACAAGCAAAGGTATAATTTTTCTTAGTTCCATGAATTACTAGCGGGTGTGTTTTTTGCTCTTTTATACTAGTTAGACCCCCGCGTGCGGAGCATGTGGGGGTCACGACATTGTTAGCATCGATAATTGAAATGTACATGTAAAATATGAGATGTCCCAAGGGGAGACAAAGAATAACATCAGAGGGACATACTCATTTGTTCATCCAAATCACAGAGAAAATTTCTTAACCCCTATACTTTGTCTCAATGATCAATTACACACCTAGACTTTGAATAATGTCAATTTTATCCCTATACTCTTTGAAATCGTATCAATTTAGCCCCTACGGTCAAATTTGAAATGGAAAAAGTTCAAAAATTACATTTTGACCCCAATTTCAAAAGAAAGATGCAAACTCACCCTCTTCTACTCAAATCCACCATCTCCTGAAACCCTCTCCAAATCCAAACCGCAAAACCCCTTCTTCTTCTTCTTCAACCTCTCTCATCCTTCTCTGTTCTAGTATCTTATACTCACTTTCACACAAACATATAGATATATATATATATATAGAGAGAGAGAGAGAGAGAAAGAAAGGAGGAGAGAGAAGATGAAAGGAGAATATGTAGAGGAAAATGATCCCACACCTCTGATGAAACCAACAGTCCCACCATCGCCACCATGCAATCACTTGTGAAAAGATTCTCATCCTCACATTCAACTATAATTTGATAATAACTTATCATTTGCAACAAAGTAATAATAATGATAAATAACCATTGAACTTCCTATCTATAAACATCAAAATTCATATCGTACTACTCAAAATAATATGCAAATGTGTTAAGTAGATATTGAAAGAAAAACTAAAAACCCTCACCAGAAATCCTATCGCTGAGACCAAGCACTCGACACAATTCAATAACTTGCTGATACCTTGCAGCAATGGCAACAAAATCAATATGTTCCTCTATGTGGGTGTTTGGGAAGCTATTATTTTAGTAGGCTATTTTAGTTTTTGGCTATTTTAGAAGACTAAAATTTTTGTATTTGGGAAGATGATTGGATTCAACTGTCTTTCCCCAACCTCGAATTCACATTAAGAAAGAAATTATTTTGGAAAAATTTCTTGTAGTGCACAGAAAATGTGGTAAAATTTTAATCTGTTCTAATAACATATTAGATTGTTAACCACTAACTCTTTTAAAAGTGTAAACTTTGTAAAGAGAAGTGTAATTTAATCTTTATCCATTTGAAGGGGAAAAAAAAGTGTTTGGATTGAAAAACAGATCTAAGAGTTACGTGAAATCTTTCTTGCAGTTTGCAAAGTCACTCTGACTTTCACATTTTCTTCAGTTGTCAATAGATAGTAAAACTACCACTTACCCATCAACGACAAATACAAACATTTGATAGGGCCTAGGTGTGTAGTTTGAAGTCTGTGACAAATGCAATTATGCTGGCTTCACTTGGGAAAACACTTCGAAAGAAGGAAGTGGTCCAGAAAAGGAGTTTCACATAGAAATCCACTATTTTTTGTTTTATTTGTTTTTTTTTTTTTTAAATAATAATTTAATTTACAAAAGTCCATATGTAGAGGTCACCGATCTATTTTGTCTGTGGACCAAGACAACAATAAGTGGAGAGGCTGGTGAATTGAAAACAATTTAATTTTTAATTTTCCAAAATTAAAAAATCCAATAATTTGCATGTGCATTTTTTCTTTTTCTTTTTCCTATTGCATTTCAGAAAGTATGAATGATGAGGGACGTATTCAATCCAACAAGAAGAAAAAAAAAACAAGAATCGATCCCGCTACTTGGATACGGACAGCATGAAAACGAGACTCTTTGAAGCAGATATACTAAGAATTATTGTAGTACTTGATAACTAACCTTTGGGAGCCAGCAACTTTGTACTTATGAACAGGAAGAACATTTATCTCTTCCTCAGTCATTGAAGAAACCGTGGGAACATTATCAGAATCCAGTGCTCTTAAAGTTTGATAATTTGCGTTTAGCAAACAAATAGCTTTTAAAAACCTGATTTAGTTTACCTAAATGAAGTTTTTATGCTTTCGGGAAAAGAAAATAAAAAGGAGAACAAAATTTGTGTACATCACCTCCTTTGTATCATTTTTCAGTTCATTTGTTGTTGAATCTTCGAGCTAGACCATAGTGAACTTCAGAAAATCAAAATAGTTAAGATATAGACTTAGTTTACATGTGGTTTTAAAATTGATTAGAATTTGAGTAGTTGAATTTTTTAAGGTTGATTTGAGTATCTGCAATATTTAAGATTTGAATTTGAATTTAATTTTAAAAATTCATGTTAGACACACAAACATTTAAATTAGATTAGATTCCCTCAAGTTCCACAACTTTAGTATTTATTATTAGCAAGCGTCGCTTGTGTTGTCAATATTATTCGATTTTGTTTCATGGACCTCCAATATAATTATATCCGTCATTCCTAATCGAAAAAACATTCAATGAATAACTGAACAAGGTGTTGACAATCATACACAAACATCTAAATTACATTCTCCACAAGTTAAAAGCAGTTTGGAATACTACACCGATCATTTGTATTGTCTAAAATATCATACATTATTCCTAATCCAAAACCAGTACAGCTAATACAAGAGCAACGTGTTTTCCAATCATACATAAACATCTAGAAACCAGTTTAGTAAAACAATCGCTTTTGTTTCCTTGAGTTGGGAAAATTTTGCAAACCAAATAAAGAGAAACATAAAGAATGTAAAGGCAGTCTGAAGTATATTATTTTTCTTTTTTCTTCATTTTTTCGGGCATATTGACAAATATGTGGTTTGCATGTAGTGCACATAAATACAAAAGAAAATAGGAACATGGAAATTAGGATATCATACAAGACAAATAAGTGTGGAGGTAGGCATGCACATACCAGAATTTGCAGCCATGAGAGAAGAGCATTACAATATCAAGTGGAATGCAGGGATAAACATCAGACAGTGATGCTGAAAAATGAAGACAAGGATAAATACACGAAAGCAATTTGAGAGAAATAAAGAAACAAAAAATCTAAAATTAGAATTAACAAAAACCTTGACTTTTGATTTTGTCATATTAAGGTAGTGTTTGGAAGAGTTTGGGAAATATGATTTGCGAATAGAGTTGTATTTTGAGTTTGTGTGTTTTGGAATTATGATTCGAGTGTAGAAAATTTGTTTGGTTATGAGTTTGAAAAGAGTTTTGAATTGAGTGGGGAATTTTTGATGTGATATATGATAACTGATACAAAAACTTGCAACTCATAACCAAACATACAACTCAAAAATCTATTAAAAGCTCATAAAAAAAAATTTAAAAATTCCGAAAATATTGTTTTATTAAATTTTTTTTTTTTTTAAATTCCAATTGCAACCAAAAAAAAAAAAAAACTTGTCCTGTTCCAGTTGACCGGTCGGTCGACTAGTTTAGCCAAATTTCAAAAAAAAAAAAAAAAATCCCGCCTAACACAGAGTTTTCTTTTTGTTGTGGAAATATAATTTGAAAAATATATCCAAACATGGCATTGGAATGTAGGGGTGGAATTATAATTTGAAAATCTATCCAAACACAGCCTAAGTGTCTCCCTTATTAATTCAGGAGGAGATAAATACACATGAGAAGTAAAATCTAATCAATTCCAAAATATAGCAAGAGAGGCTGATATTTGGCATAATATAAAAGCCACACCACCCCACTAATCCACAATGGATGCAATCCAAACAAAAGAATAGATTCAATTTGTAGAAGACAATCAAAGTGACTCATTGTGGGATACAAAATGTTTGCATACATGAATTTAGATATCTGGTTCAATTCTTCAAATATCTCATCAACTTCATATGTAATCTCTCCTCTTTAACAAATTTGGGGTCCAAAGACTGGTAGGTTTGGTCTATAATAGGTGATTTCAGGGGCACCCACAAATCCAGTTTTACTGTAATCAAATATCTGGGTTAGGATTAGATGTTTTGAATCTGATTTTCAACTTTAGAATTCTAAACTTTTCCCTGGTTTATTGAATTTTGGTTTGAGTTTTGAAACTTATTACGGATGTAAAGTAGTAGGGAGATAGATGTTCAGATTGAAGTTTTGTGGGAGATTATGTTGTGAACATAACTGGTACATTTTAAGATGCAAGAGGATTATTCTGAAACTTGCATACAGAAATTGTTGTATACGTCTCCACTCTAGAGGCATCAAATATCACCCTAAAGCCTTCTATTTCATTACTTGAGTTTGTTATCTATCCAGAAGAGTTTGAGACATCTTCCTCTCTTTTCATATTCACATCTATCCTTCTTCTAAAGGTTTGGTCCTTTTCACCAACGATCCTTGATATAGTAAGTGGCGATCAGAGGATCATGGTTGTGGTAGAAAATCCCAGTTTGTGCTTGATCCAAGCATGCCCAATTGACAAGTATTCAAAAATAGTTTGCCAATTTCACTTTATTTATGTTTTTTATTTTTAAATCAATGGGTTAGTGTCGATTTCACTCTTACCATGTCTTGTCCAACTAATTTCCTTACACGAATAAAGCAGACAATTTTGTCTAAATTTAATAAGGAATCAAAAAGTGTGCTACTTTCTCCTACAAAATAAACAAAATTTGAATTAATTTTTGCCTTTGCTAAACTTGGTTAGGCTTAGTCAGCCATATTGTCAAGCAGATGGTATGCATAATTTGTCTATGCACTAACAAAAATCAATCTAATACAGATGCATAGAAATCAGGTATTGACATCTCCATAGAAGACAGAGAAATAGCAAACCAAAAAATTACATACCAAATAGTATGGATTTGCATCTGGTCTGTGAAAGAAAAAAGCATACAGAGTTCAGCCCAAATACAAACTGTAGAATAAAGGAAGATACAACACTCAAACGAACATTCATTGTAAAAAATTGAACAATTTCTTTGATAAACCTGAGAGCAATTTGCAGCAACGAAATTGAATAATTTACACCTCTTGATATCTCACGACTTGAGGAACAAGCTTGGGTGAAAAGCACACTGCCTAATCTATAGCGGCACAAATCTCGAATTGATGAAGAGCTTGCTGGAGAAGCACCGCATACAACTCAGCCGGTGTCATTGTAGCTTCCCTAGCAATCTTCAACGAGGGTGATTTCATAATTTCCTGTTTGTTAGATGCACTGTTTAGACTCAAATTTTGTTGCTTCTATAAATAGGTTATAGATGTATGTAGTCTTCTCCGAGGGGACTATACTATGCTGACAATACTATGCTGAGTATTGGCTGGTGTGCTAAAATTTGTTTTTGTTTTTACAAAGCTACTGGGTAGCTCGAAACGAGCTACCCGATTGGCTCGAAAGTATGATTTGCCTTTGCTGTCACGTGCTTAGTAAATTAAAAGAAAAGAAACAAACGTATAACAATTTAAAAACAAAACACAAGAGAGAGGAGAGGACAGAGAAAGCGTGGGAAACGAGAGAGCAGAGCAAAGCTGCCACAGTTAAACATCTTCTCCGAGAACCACGACGACGACCGACTTGGGTGTTCGCCGACGACGGACTTAGGTAAGTTGCGACAATGAAACATCTTCTCCGATGACGACCACTTCTATTCGAAATCCCTACCGCCGTGCATTGGAGATTAGGTAAGTTCCTCTTCTGATTTTTTTTGCATTTGCGATAGGTGCAAATCAATTGATTTTTGTGATGCATTTGAGATGTCTGCAATGGTTCTGGGTTTGTTTTGTTTTTCATTGGTTGTGTGGCCAATGTTTTTGTAGTAATGCATTCCAGGTGTTTGATGAAAGTCCACATAGAGAGATGGTAATTTTGTTAATGAAAATAGTAAATTATGATTCTCTTTAGAACTAGTTTATGATCTAATGCATTCCAGGTTTTTGTAGTGATGCATTCAATTGTAGGAATTTATGTTGTGGGCAGTTGATGGTTTATATGGTTTGTAATTTTGTTAATGAAAATAGTGAATTCTGATTCTCTTCAGAACTGGTTTATGATCTGATGCATTCCAAGTTTTTGAAGTGATGTAGTCAGATTACACAAATAATTTCCAAATACAAAAATGTTTCATAATACATACTTACATATTTTGATGGGCAAACAAAGAACAAATGCCCATGATTTCCATTCTCATTGGTTTGTACAATATACATTGCAACTGTTCTCCCACAGTCACACATTCTTGGTTTTAATGTAATGTTGCTATTGTTCGTAGAAGAAGAAGCCATTTTTAATCTGCAACTAAACAATGAGAATGTAATATGTGGGTGCTTGGGAAGTGGTTATTTTAGAGGCTTTTTGGCTATTTTAGTAGGCTATTTTAGTTTTTATGTTTGGGAAGTTAGGTTAAATTTTTGAGGTTGAAATGACAAATTTGCCCCTAATCTTATTTTTTCCAAAATTGATCCGCGGGAGCAAAATGGTAATTTAACTGCCTATGGGATGGCAGTGGTAGCCTGAGTCTACACTGTGTTGGTCATAGTGTAGGCTGTCCGTGCATGACAGCCACTGCCTTTTCTTTATTTATTTTTTTTATTTTTAAATCAATGGGTTAGTGTGGCTAATTCGTAACAATCTGCTTGTGTTTTCCACAAAATAGTATTTGAGATTTCTTTTTCTTAAATCCGTATGTTAAGTTTCCATATCTTCCTGATAATCTGAGATGTGCTTGCTTGCTGTTGTCATGTTTGATTGTACTTTCAGACATTGTATCAAATGGACTGCCCAAAACTTGGGTTTGTTTTTGACTTTGTACACAACCAAAGGCAAAAACAAATTCAGCAAGAATACCACATTTATCAGCAAACATTGTTATGGAAAATTTCAGCAGCAAAACAAGATTTAGAAAATAAATTCTTGAACAAAAACTCAACAGCAAACCAATTTGTAGCAGAAAAACATTATTGGCAAACAATTCAGCGGCAAAACATGATTCTAGCAGCAAACATTCTTGGGGAAAAATTCACCAGCAAACCAATATGTAACAGCAAAAATCATTGGAAAAAAAGAAGCAGCAAAAAAAATTAAATGTGTGGCAATGAACATCCCTACAAGATCATCACCACAATTAATTTGAACATCCCCAGAAGAACTAACTGTACAACCCACACAGCAAAATCAAACCACATTTTGACATAAATTAAACTCCATCAAATTCTTCATTCAAACAACTGAACATATATACATACAATACATTAGAGAGTCAGGCAAAAAGGAAAAGCACGAAACCCTAATTTCTTGAATCTTCAAACCCTAGTTTTGCGATGTCGGGTTTACCTGAGATTCGTTTTCAATTGGTCGGTAATCCGGCGTATGACAAGTTTCCGGCACTGAGAGGAGTCAGATGAGCGTGGTCGAACGAGAGGAGTATCTCGCTGACCACCAAGTCGAAGGAGAATGAGCATTGAGCAAAGTATGAGAACTTTCCAGTTTGGTGTCGGATGAGGTAGTCGAATGGAGTCGGAATGGCACGTCGGAGAGGTAGTCGGATGAGCGAGGGATGAGAGGGTTTTAGGTGGAGAGTGAGGGGATGAGAGCGATAGAGGTTTTAGGTGGAGAGGAGAGAACGAGCTCAAACTTGGCCAATTTCCATCATTGTGGCATTTTGAATATTTTAGGTTGTGTTTCTACTTTATTCCTAATATAAGGTGAAATTTCTACTTTATCCCTAATATAAGGTGAAACGGGTTAGTAAAACCGTTTTTATTAAAATAGCATTGGCAAAGCTGTTTTTGATGAATAAAAAAATAATAAAATTTTTCTTCGTAATTAATTTTAAGTTTATATAAAATAATTTTTGTAAAATTGTTTTTATTTTTATTAATTTTTTTTCAATTTATAAAACCATTTTTATTTTTATTAATTTTTTTTTTTCAATTTAGAAATATTGTTTGCCTAAAATAATATTTTTATCATAAATAGAAAACGGTTTTTGGAAAGCCGTTTCATTTTAAACAAAGCCCATCTTCTTCTCCCTTTACTAAAGTCGTTTCTTCTTTTCCAGCCCATCTTCTTCTCCCTCACTCAACTGAACTCCGAAGGGAAGACCGACGACGAAGAGGAAACAACGAACAACGGCCAACAGTACACCACCGGGAAAACGAGAAACACCTTCATCAAACACCCACATTCAGGTTTATATCGCATAAATTAGGGTTTTCATTTCAACTTTGGGATTTTAAATTTCGAAATTAGGGATTGCTGAATCTAGGGCATTGAAAAGTTACAAAAATTGTTATTCGTAGGATATAGTTTACGATTTTCTGTATCTCAGTTCACTTTTTCTGTATCTCTGTTCACTCCTTTTTTGTTTATCATATAATATCCTTATTTTCCTTTTTTTCAATACTGTAAATATTGAAATATCCTTGTTTGTATCTCGGTTTGAAATATTGAAATCTTGGGACATAATCTTGTGTTTGGAAATATATTGGGAATATAGGGCAAAATTTTAGAACAAAAGTAGGGATAGCAATGAAGTAAAGTGGGATTGGATTTGTGCTGTTCTATTCCTACACCATTCGTAGTTGGGGCAATACTACTGGCCTTAGCTCATTATTAGGATCCTTGAGGCATCTCCAATGGAGATGCTGAGCACACTACACACAGATTTATACAAGTATACACACCACACGTTTGGCCATAAGCTAATACACTTAAAAAATCAAAATTTTATATATACTAAGGTAATACACCTAAAAAATCAAAATTTTATATATACACCTAAAAAATCAAAATTCTAAAAATCAAAATTTTTAAATGCATAGTCGTATGTCTTGTGAGCATAAAATTGAAAATTAGATAAGTTAGTTCATGTCTCATATAATAAACCCATATATATATATATATACTAGGCAGGGAGGCCATGGCCTTCCATGGTTTGTGTGCATGTGGTATTCACCCTGATAGACTTTCAGGATGGTATAGAGTTTGAGTTGGAAGTAGAGAGAGTTTGAATTGAAAATAGCAAGTTCACAAGAAGTAAAGTTCGAATTGAAAGTACAGAGAGTTTACCATTGCTTTGTTAGTTTGGCCAAATGATGCCTTTGGCCTTCAAATCTTCAATTAATAGTCTAGATATATATACAAATATCAACAATCCAATGGTGTGGAAACTATCTAATTCTTCCATTATAACCAAATGATTGCCTATTATATATTTTAATTAATAGTCTACATATGTATAAATTTCAATGATCTAGTAGTATGAAAGCTATCTACATCCTTCCACCACCTTATGATGAAAAAATTCTACAATTATCTACCTAATTATAGGGATTTCTACAAAATTTTACATAAATCTAAAATCGAATTCGTAACTCAAATATTTGATAAAATTCCCAAGTTGTGACATTATTCCCCGCCTAATACGACCACATCCTTAACGCAAATTCCTCGTGAAAGCTTTCGATCTTCTCTTCGAATTGATGCAAGAGTTTTGCTAACTCGCTAACTCTCAACTTGTCAATTTCAAGTAGTCCATCTATTTTACTTGGTATTTTTAACACATCATTGGAGTTCCTAGTGATTCCAAACCTTTAAAATATCTAAATTCAACCTTTTAAATCTCCACATTCAAGACGTATTAGTAGTATAATTTTCTCTCAATAAATGCAAATTATATAGATAGCATTTTTAAGCAAGAGACTATCTTATTTACGATTGACCCATATAAACACTAGCTTTATAGTCAATTAGTAAAGAGATGAGACATAAGCAAAAGAGTGGACTCTATGATTTCTTCTTTTTCTTCTTCTTTCCTTAATCCCACTATCCCACTGTCCACTACGTTGGGATTGATCTCTCATATTAGTCAGTCATTACGGCCGAATACCAATCCAAATAAATATATATATATATGCATTTTTGAGATCATTTTAGTCAATCATTACGGCCAGATACCAATCAAAAAATATTGTGGGGATATATTTTCTGAGTCCCAACACGTGGCCAAGATGACGTCGACGTGTCAGCCGAGGTGCTATGTGTCCAGGTTATGACGCCGAGGTTATCTCGACAAGGCCGAGGTTATCTCCGAAGATATCGAAATCCAAGATAAGCGGATAGGGGACAAGAGTCCTAGAATGATGAAGGACTATGGCATGGATAAGGATAAAGCTCTTAGGGAGTTTATCTTTATCTCTTAGGGAGTCCAAGATAAGCACTAAGCAAGAGTCCATTGAAACTTGGCTTCTAGTGGGATAAGGATTGAGTTTGTTATAAAATAGAGGCACCCCCATGGGTCTAAGGTACGCAAGTTATATTCTGAATAGTGAGTTTAGCACTATTGATTATCTTTAAGAGATATACTGACTTGATTGTCAGAGTGCCCCCGGGTGGACGAACCACCGCCGGAATCTTCTCTTTCTGTTGCAGGTCAGCCAGATGTCATTTATTCTGCCAGTGCTCTCCAGCTGATTACTGAGTTGGGCAGTGTGTTCGGAAAATCACTCACACAATTTGGCGCCGTGTGTGGGAAAGAAAGAAGAATAGATAGCCAGTGGCAGACAGAAGAAAAAGATTGGGGACGACACTCCTACTGGAAGTGGCAGACCTATCGACCTTGACGTCGAAGGAGGCAACCGCAACACAGAAACTCGTAACCAGAATCACAGCAAGAAAGACGTCGGCCAGGATAGCGACGTACCAAAGCAGCCAGATCGAAGTGGGTACTACCATAAGGATGGCCTCCAGGTATGGAAGGACAGATGCCTGCGGAGGGACGAAGAGATAAAAGAGATGGCAAATAAATTGGCAAACCTACAATTGGTCGTCAATTTTATGATGCAAAATAATGTCATGCAGCCACCATACCCGCTGCAAGACACGCCAATTCCAGCGGCCAATACCCAGAAATGAGGGCAGAAGACAATCCCAATAGCCCCTCAGCACACCAGAAGCGAAAAACACTCTCACCAGCCTTCCAGGGAGGTCGGGAGAGGAGAGGAGAGGAGAGAAGAGTCGCGGAGGATGCACCGCGCCAAGGAGGCAGACCCCAAAGAACATCAGCATGTTCAGAGACAGGCACTCTACTTCGACACAACCCACGGAGAAAAATCGAAGAGGACCCACCATGAAGCTGAGAGTAGTATACCGAAAAGACTGAAGTCAAGAGATAGCCGAGCTCCTAGACGGAGCAAAGAAGACTTAAGAGATTACCTCAAGAGGAAGCAACAGAATGCCGATACCGAGGTAACTTCCCCTTAAAAGTCGAGAACACCGTTCTCAGTAGAGTTAGACAAATTTGAGGCGCCGAAGAGATTCAGTATACCGAGGTTCCAAATATACGATGGTAAGTCAGACCCTAACTTCCACGTTGGATTATACTTGAACTCAATGGCATTATATAGTGGGAACGAGCAGTTGCTCTGCAAAGTGTTCCCCTCATCATTCGGGGAGATTGCATCAGATTGGTTTCATAAACTACCGAAGGGAAGTGTGAAGACCTGGGAAGGCCTGGCCGAGATGTTTGTGGCCAGGTTCGTAACAAACAAGTTGCAGCCATTAAGAGTGGATGCATTGATGGCTCTAAAGATCAGTAAGGATGAAGGCCTTAGGGCCTATGCAAAACAGTACTATGAGGTGTTCAACCGAATACCAGAATGTAATCAAGAGGTGGCAGTCGTATCTTTCAAGAACGACCTCAAAGACAACTGTCTACTACGAAAATCTTTGGCAAAGACATTGTCAAAAAACATGGAAGAGCTCATGGCGAGGATCGAGAAATACGCCAGAGCTGAAGAAGATACATCGGGGACCAAGGAGGTAAAGCAAGAAAAGGGAAACGGCTCGCCGAAGCGAGGCTGAGGTAACAACGGATCCAGTAAACAGGAGATAGAACTAAGGGCAACACAGGCAGTGACAACCGTGTTCCGAATCCCAATTCACAAAGTCCTAGATCAAATTAGGAATCAACCCTATTTCAGAACACCTACAAAAACACCAGGAGAATTCATGGGAAGAAACCTTGGCAGGCATTGTGCTTACCACAATGAAAACGGGCATATGACTCAGGGTTGTAGAGCCCTGAAAACACACTTGGAAGACCTGGTGAGGCAAGGCCATCTGAGAGACCTTGTTGATGAGGCCAAAACAAGGGAAGAACAGGCAAGATTGCCTCAAGCGACAACAGCTCCACCTTCCCCAGCGCAGCAACCACAAGCAAGAGGACCTCCGGTAATTAATGTAATTCACTCGAAGGTCAACGAAAATGAGATTCGGGGGGAGACCCAGAAGGTAAAACATCTGCAACATGTCTACTAAGTCGGAGAGAAGAGACATCGGGCAGAGGAGTACCAAGGGCCAGTAGTGTCCTTTTCCGAAGCCAACCTTGAAATGGTGCAGCACCCACATAATGATGCCTTGGTAGTATCCCTCCAGGTTGGGGAATGCCAAGTAAAGCGTATCTTGATTGACCAAGGCAGCTCTTGTGACAGCATGTACGTCCGATGTTACAAGGAGCTCGGCCTTCACCCAGACGACATGGAGCAATCCAATAGCCCAATGGTCGAGTTCAATGGAATGCTGACATGGCCACTGGCAACAACTAGCTTGGAGGTGCAGGCAGGCACCAGGAAGATAACAACAGAATTCACCGTGATTGACACACCCTCCCCTTA